CTGCGGCTGGAATTCTGTGGAGCCCTGTCCAGTGGGACAGAGGAGAGAGCAGAGGAGGTGCCCACAGGGAGCTGTTCAGATGGTCAGGGAGTGGAAACACATGAAGTGTAAGAGTCTGAAGAGGTTGCGTTTGTTTAACCTGCAAGAAGAGAAAGCTTAAGGAGAGCTTCTACATGGCACCTGATACTAGGAGGGCTGAAGACAAAATAAATCATAGAATCATTAAGGTTGAAAAAGACCTCCAAGGTCAAGTCCAGCCTTTGACCAAATAGCACCTTGTCAACTAAAGCATATCACAAAGTGCCACATTTACTCATTTTTTGAACACTTCTGAACCCACTTCCCTGGGTAGCCTGTTCCAAGGTTTAACCACTCTTTTAGTGGAGAAACTTTTTCCTAATGTCAAACCTGAATCTCTCTTGGTTACGGCCATTTCCTGCTGTCCAATCACTAGCATGAATCCAGACTTGAGGTGCACACCAAGAGGGCAAAAGACAATGGTCACAGGTTGCAGAGAGGCAAAATGCAACTGGATAGAAGGAGTGGGGGAAAATCACCACTGTTCTATGGTTAACCATGGGAAGAGATTGCTCAGGGAGGCTGATAAATCCTCAGAGGTATTAAAATTTCATCTAGACAAGACCCTGAGCACCTTTATCTAACTTCCAAGCAAGCTCACCCTGCTGTGGTTAGGAGGTAAGGCATAGAGAGGTGACCTCTGGTTTGCATTCTTCTGTGATTCCATCTTGCCCAGTCTTAGCTGACACGCTGGAAGGGCTCATGTTGCTTACAGACCCCATGTCAGACTTTCTGGTCTGATGTAGAAGTCCTAGAAACTCTAGGACATCTGAAATAATCTGAAGGCCAGGCAGAGAGCACAAAAGAATGTATAATGGTACTAGACAGCAATGTTGTGAAGTGAATCATGCCCCATCTGTTCAGCTGATCCTCTCACACTGTCCTCTGCCCAAATCCAGTAGTATGCTTAGAATACTGCTAAAACACAGTGCACAAGCTGACCTTATGAAAGCACACTCATGGCTTTCTTTTTTTTCAAAAAAAAGAGAAAAAGAAGAAGAAGAAGAATATCCATTATACAGACAAGAAAGTAGTTAAAGTACTCACTTAGAAATAAGAGACTCAGATCAGCTGTCCTCTCTGCATACAGGGTTTCAAATTATCATGCCTCATCTCCTTTAGTATTTTCCTTTTCACCTTATCCGTTTAAGGATTGTGTGTTTCAGCTTTTCCTGTTGAAGTACATAATGCAACAAAATTTGGATTAATTAAGCCTGTGAGAAAAGGTGACCAATTTTTTAAGATCTCTAGACTTGTCATTCAGTCACAGATCACAACAAAGTATAAACAGTGGTGACAGTAAGGCACTCTTACTTTGATCTGAGAGGACGTAATTGCTTCATCCACTGAATAAAAGGAGAACTGAGAGAAAAAGGGGAAACAGGAGCAACAAGTGTTCTCTTCATGTGTTAGAGTTGTTGTTCAAACCTATGAGAGATGTATGTTACACACATAAAATGTGTACGTGCAATGTGCACATTCTCTGTACGTTCCATATGAAAATATAACTATTTTTATGTTTCTGAAAGTAAGGACTTTACATTTATTGATATTGTATTCTATCATTCATGGAATGAGAACTGAATCTGTAGGAGTATTACATTTTTAATACACTTTTAATGAGATCTTATTTTAAGTAAGGTGCTTTAGTTTAGAAAAAATTAACTAAAAAAGGAAATTGCATAGGAATACCAGAGAGCACTCAGGATTTTAGTTTATACTCAGTACTTCAATGATTCTAGGTGGTAGAAGAGCAAAGCATACAGAGTAGCTGATAGCCATAGGTTAAATGGAAATTGCAGATAAGAAAATAGAGTAAGAAAATAATAGATATTAAATTACTTAATGATAGAAGTAAATCCAATGTTGGAAAGCTTTTCCTTCTGAAAGATCTAAAGACACACTAAAAATGCTTAGTATTTGGCAGAACTAACTATTTGAAGAGTCTACCTGCAGGTAACATGTAAGCACTCTTCAAATTTCAGACTCTTCAGATTTCATTGACAGTAAGCATTTCTTCTAAAATATTTCTTTTATGGCTGGCCCTGTTTTTGACAGAAGATCCTTTGATGTCTGGTACATCTATATTTGTATTGGCCTGGAATTCAAAGGTTGTGTAGCAGTAGAAGACAGTTTATTAAAATGCTTTTCAACTGAAATGGAGTTACTAAACAAAAGTGCTTCCTTCCCTGGAAAATCTCTAGGGAAGTAAAGAGTGAGGACAAATGAAAATGAAGACTGTTTAGCAGTATGTCAATTTCTTTTTGGTAAAAAAAGTTCACCATTTAAAGCAGCATCCTCAGTGTCAAGAGGTATGTGATGTGAAGATCACTTACAAGGTCGGCTTCAGGGCTGCACATTAAAGGAGGAAACACAGAAACAATGGGCAATAATCAGCCTGATTAGCAAGAATAACCCATTGACCTGGAAATTTGTGTGACACATCTGACAGCAAGCAGACAGCAAACAAATACTTTCTATAACCTGCATTCAGTCAGGTTGCATTTTTAATCATAGGATTTTATCAGCAAATATGATTATATAGTATTAGTTGACTCATATGTAGTTAATACACTAGGGTGGTAAACAAAACACATCTAGGCATTTGGAGATTACACTTTCAGATACAGAGTTTGGCTGATTTTTGTGAGTTGAAAATGAATCTCACTGGGATTTTGATACAAGCAGTGTTATTGCAATATAGCTAGTTTATGTGTATTGTGGAATACCATTAAGAGAAATTAATGGCTACTTTTCATTACATAAACTTATTCCCATTTATGTAAAAGCCTATTATTTCTATTTGAAACTCTAAGATGTCTCATCTCTAGCATGAATAAAACATATACTTGAATTTTGTTTACCCTAGCATTCCCTCTTAATATTTAAAATACATCAGATATTATTCAGACCATTCTCTGATAATGAAGATTATCTATAGGACAATCCTTGTCTTACATTAGTGGGGCACTTGTGTTAAGAAAACTGTGGACCTAAAGATTCTTGTTAAGGATTTATTCAAGTGTGCAAGGTCCAGGATCAAACAGTCTGAATGCAAATCCAGCATGGGCAAGGCCATGAGTTGGAGTTTCAGAGACAAGTTAAAGTACCTTTGGAACACATAAAATGTTCAGTGAGTGCTCTCACAGTGCCTGCAGAGTTTTTCCTTAATTAAGCTAGCTTTAAAAATCATGGGGTTGGATGAATGGGCAGGATGAAGGACCAGCCCCTGCACTGGTAAAGATGATAATATTCATTTTACTCAGGCCTTTGATTTGTTTGAAAACACAAGGATCTAGCTACACACCATAAAAGGCCAGTTTCATGATTGTTGCTGGGAACAAACAGGATCAATCACTAAACTGTAAAATGACTCGGATTGGAAGGGACCTTAAATAAAACCTTAACCAAGATTCTCTAGGAAACCATGGACAGGGATCCATCCCTGCCTCACTTACCCAGAACTGTTTCTTTTGCTGTAAAAAAAAAATTTAAAATACTGTTTAAGGCCTTTTCACTTGATTACAGTATCTTCTGATGTTACTGTTTGCAACATACTTCTCAGAAATAAAGTTGTGGGCTTCAGAATAGCTTTAGAGAAGAGCCAAATTGGGGTCCATAAGGCTGTGCTTGGGTGCACATGTGCTGCAGAGCATAACATAATGCAGAGCTCAGCCCTCTATCCTCACCATTTTCAGGTAGAATCAGTATTGGGTTTTATGCCTTAAAATTGTTGCCCTAGTTTAGGACATTATGGCTTCTCCAACTTTTTCTTTGTGTTTAGTGGACAACTAAAATCAATGTTTTGCCTCTGCTGAGTGAAGCAATAAGCAATTTGTATGGAGCTTTATGGTGTGCTTCTGTCATACCAGCTACCAACCTGATTCTGTGAAATACCTGCATGTATTTAGTGGCCCTTTAACATAAGATCTTTAAAAAAAAAAATCCTATTTCTTTTGAGAATTACTGCCTGGAATATATTTAACATTTAAGGGAGCAGACATAGGAAAACAGATTCTTAATGGGAAGGAAGCAGTTCAGTGCCTCTCAGTCCTGTGGATAGTCTGTGAAATACAATTATTAAAAATTGCTGAAAAGGAATCTTAACTCCTTTGACCATTCTCTGTAATTTTAATTCTGAATATAGATTTATGATGACAACTCTATGTAATATATATTCAGGCTCGATGTGGTCTGAATTTTAATTGGTCAGGTTGTTAGACGAGGGAATATTACGGGTTTAATTTTTAGCTGCTTGCCAAGCCAGTAGTGTAGAACAGGAAGTTTTAGTGAATTTAGGATCTGGAACTATGCACAATCTCTCTTGCTTGTATTATTTTCATTTTTGGAATACCAGAATCAATTGCAAATATTCTTGTAGCTTTTTGAAACCCTTAAGAACATGATCAGTAGCATTTGTTAGATATGTGGAGCCAAAATGGCATCTGTTATGAAGAGCTGAGGTCCTGCTCTTACATGGAATGTTTGTAGCTTTAAAGTGTTTGAGCCTCCCTAATGAAAAGAGATGATGCTGCAAAGACTTTGATAATTAGTTTTTGTTTCAAAAAAAAAAAAAAAAAGTAAAAGAAAAGATAGATTATTTTGATCAAAGCAGTTTCAACACCAAGAACACAAATGTTAGTCTGGATCAATTTATGTGGGAATTTCTAGATTCCCTGGAAACACAACTATAAAGGAAGACTCCAGGCATGGTTTTAAGCAACAGATTAGATCATGTAAATAGACTTAACAAATTTCAGAACTTACAAGGGCACTATCCTTAGAATATCTGAGTGCTTCTTGACCTTCAATGTTCTTAAATAAGTTACTATGTTATTAACACACCAATTAAAATTATTAATTTATATAGAAAATTAAAGAAATATGTCAAAATTATTCCATTATTCTACTGTGTTTTGCAGGTCCTAAAATGGTAGAATTCCACGGTCAGCAATTTCAGATCAACTCAAAGGATGGCAAGCCACTTTTTACAGTGGATGAAAATGAAGTTGTAATTGGCACAGATAAGCTTCGAGTCACAGGTTTGTAATGGTTTAAGAAATGCTCCGATAATACCCATATGAAAGGAACAATAAAAAGGGCATTTTTAAATATGTTATGTGTTAAATTCATGTTTTACCTCATTAGGAAACAGAAATATGAAGATAATCTGACCTTTTTCAATAAATAATCAGAATTTTAAACATAAAATTATTTTTATATACATATATATATGTTTATATAAAATGTGTAAAGATTTCTCTCCATATGTGTTTTATTTTAAAGCCATTAGTAACTGGAACTGTAATGGTGCAACTTTTTATGAATTATTTAATGATTCCAGTACACACTGTCCAAAGCTGAAAAAATTCTAGATATTCCACTCTGAGTAGTAATGAGTCTGATCTGTGAAAGCTTTAGAGAGAGAAATATCTCTCTGATATTTTTATATGATTTTGTCTTTCAAAGCTACTGTATTTCTGTTCTGTGAGTAGCACATATGTCACAGGAAGATATTTGTAGTATATCTTAAATGTCACCTGTCAAGAGAAAAGTTTGACTTTGGCTTTTTCTTCAAATCACTGAAGCACTCATTTACAAAGTAATATGTCAAAGTTATCACATGAAAAGCTACTTCTTTCATACAACCTGATAAAGTCAACCTTCATTTTTTAGGTGTAAGGTTGCATTAAAATAGATATATCAAGGTGTGATTTTTCTTTGAGCAGAANTTTTTTTTTTTTTTTTTTTTTTTTTTTTTTTTTTTTTTTTTTTTTTTTTTTTTTTTTTTTACCTGATTGCAACTGTCATGTTTGGCCTTCACTAATTACCGGTCCTCTGAAATCTTGAGGTCTTCATTTTCATAAATAGATTCATATTATTTCACTGTCAAAACTATAAATATAGTAGTAACTATACAATTAGTGTTTCAAAGCCAAAGTTAAGTTATAATAATTGTGTTAATAAATTTTGTTTACGCCTGAGGGTCTTATCTTAAGGTTTTTTACTTTTTAACTTAATTGAAATTACAACTTTGTTTAACCAGGAAACCATATCAAATAATTATTGTTTGCCCAAGGGATGCTAAACTTTAATAGAAAAGTGTGTTTAACAAAGATATGAAAAACTGCATAATTGTTAACTGATTTGGAAAAGGTCTGTCTCTGCTCAAAGTAAAAATCATTCATACATGAGTTGAAATTGTTATGCTAATATTAATGACTCACTCATCCAATATTAATCTTTACAGTGCATTGATAATTATTTACTTCAGATATTGTACTAAGACACATTGCCTGTTTCTTTTTTACACTGTAGTAGAATTCAAAAGGAAATACATTACAGCCAGTGAGGAGATTTCCGTGTAAAATTAATGTAAATGAGAGGAGATTCATGCCTACTTTGCTTCAAATTAATTTATTAAAATTGTGATTTAAATGATACTATTAGCATGAAGGATAAATTATTGTGATTTAAATGATACTATTAGCATGAAGGATAAATTAATAACACTAATATATACCAAGACTATTTTTAACCATTTTAGATAGAGATTAAGATCAATGTGAAAGAAATTTTGAAAAATTCATACCATAAAAAACAGATAAGCCTTGGCTTAAAATACACAAAGAACATTTCAGTTTTTTATGTACAGTGTAGTGAACTATATGATTTTACTTCTCCTTATTTATGTGAATAATGAAAAGCTCAGTAATGATTTTTAGAAAACCTGACAGTTTTCAACTAAAATAAAATATAGCAGAGAGCAAATGTGTATCATTTATGATATTTCAAGACAAAGGAAAATGTCTAAGAGTAAAATAATCCAATCCAACACCTCAAGAATTGTCATTTTCCTAAACCGTTTCAGTCAGACTTTCTCTGGCCTGTGTAGAATAGAACAGTGCAGATCAAAGAAGGGCAAATGCCTGAGGAAAGCATCAACCAGGAATGTGCCCCCGATACCCCACAGGGTCACTGGCAGGTCTGGGTGGTCACATTTCCCTGGAGCACAGAGAGATGCTGGCAGGCAGAGCTCTTGTGCCCACCAAATGCTCTTCTCTGCTTTGGGGAGGGCTCCAGGGCTTGTCTCTGCCTTGGCTATAGTGGATAAGGGCTGAGCTCACGTGCTCAAACATTGACATGCAGCTGTGTGTGAAACACCCTGGGCTGTGTGAGGCACCACATGGTATCACTTTGTCTCCAAGAGATGCTTCCCGTGGTCATGGCAGCTGGAGGCCAAGCAGGATGCACAAGGGTGTCCCAGATGACAGTAAGGACATAGGAGGAGGCAAAGAAACACTGCCTCTGGCTCATCTGTGGCATCTACATCACAGACATATCTCAGTGCATATGAAACTGAAGCTGGGCTTGACCCTTTGTGAAAATTACTGCTCCTGAATGACCATGGACAAAAACTGCAATAACTCTTCAATATTATTTCAGTAAGGACCTGTGTTTTGCAAGCATTTATTATGTTGTTGTGCCAGTACTGAGCATCTATGTTCTGTTCTGGGAAGGTTTTGTTCATTCAGCTGGCACTGGTGACAGTGAAACCACCTTATAACTGTATTGGCTGGCTTTAGAATGTCATCTTGGTAGGCTCATAGAAACAGAGAATTGTAAAGGTTAGAGATCTCTAAGAAAACATCCAACCATAAACCTAACACTGCTATGTTCACCTCTAAATCACATTCCCTAGTGCCACACCTATACTTTTTCTTTTTTCCTTAAAGGAAAGCTGATAGGGCAGAGAGGATCAGGTTTTTTTATGGAGAAGCATATTTATATTACCCTTTCTCCAGTTTACTACTTGCCCTTCTGCTTGTTTGTCTTCTATAAAAATCCCCTAGAGTATTTACTCTGTTCTGTGCAAAGGTTTTCAGTGTGCGTAGCTAATGCTGAAGTGCAATGTGGCAGTGTGTGTTTAATTTAAACACTTCTGCTCAGAAGGTAAGTTAAGTAGGAGGCAATCTGTGGGTATGAGTAAACATTCTGTTAGGCTGTGAGGAGGCAAATGGTCCTTGCCTGATAGGGTGCATGGGGTGTTAATGAATCTTGCTGACTTCAGTCCTTAATATCTTGTTCTTGTGTATTTTAGGAATAAATTACAATATCTTAATAAACAGTAGCCTATAAAATAGTAAATACAGTAATAGTCATACCCCAGTTAAACTAGGAAATGAAGACAGGAAATCAATTTAAGGCCATTTTCCAAAAAATATTGCCCTGGGATTTTTTTCTTTTAGTGATGTACTGTTAAAACTTAATGCTGTTTGATGAAGAAGTTTTACTCACATTAAAGGCAAGGTTTTATTCTTGCTTAGAGGTGACAGCTCTAGAATATCAAAATAAGCCTTTTCATTCCATTTTACACCATTTGTCCACCACCCAGAGCATTAACAGTGATGTTTAACACGTGATGATTAACACATGAAACTGATATTATCTCTGTAACCACTTACTTATCTTTATAGAATCATGGGATCATAGAATCACTTAGGTTGGAAAAGAACTCTTAAGATCACCAAGCTGAACCATTAACCCAGCACTGCTAAGTCTACCACTAAATCGTGTCCCCAGGTGCCACATCTGCACTTTTAACATATCAGGGTATCCCTGCAAAATATCTTAGTTGTACCAAATCAGCATTTTCTGATAAACATTTTTAATTCCTTAAGCTGCAGAATAATCTTAATGTTAATGAAAATTAAATTAAATGTTAATAAAGTAGGGTTAAAGCTCTGTCTGAATTAATAAATTCTGTATTTTCCAGTATTATATTCATGCCAGTTTGTACATCTTCTGTAATTTACAGAAAGATTAATCTATTTAAATTTATGAGAAGAGTATCAACAGCTAAATAAAATTTAAATTCAAGCTTAGTAAATCAATGATTGCTCAAAGTGCTGAAGTGATTTAATATGGTAATTCTTGTATCTTGTGTTCTTCTCTTTCATCCAAGGAGATTTCATTCTAAAGAATCAGGATTTCAGCTAAAACTCTTCTCAAAAAGCAGCACATTTCATGCCTTCTCAGGACATCCTGAGAATTTTCCTGCAGTCCTCATGAAGTGATAGTCTTCCTATCAGTTGTTTCAGCAATGTTTTCATTTTTAATGTTTTTTCTAGATTTCACTTCTTTTCCTTTCACCAGGCTCTCTGAGGTTTCCCCAATTTTAATTCTCTTTTTCCTTTTATATCACATTTAATACAATACCACATTTATACAATCTACACTGCACTGCCATTCTCTGTCTAGACAGAGCCCAAATCCCTAATGTAGGGATTTTTTACAGCCCAGAATTCTTTCAAGAGGGTGGTGGCATAAAGAGCAGCCAGACAAGCTGCCTTAACTAATATACTAGCAATTAAAATATATTGCCTTGCTACATATTCACGTGGAAAGTGCTCAGGTATGTGAATCCTCAAAACCAGAGAAGGTCTCTCAACCTGAGACCTCTCCAAATTTTTATTCACGAAAGTGAAGAAAAACAAGTGTGTTCACAAAGCCAAGGAACAGAAGTTGAGAGGCTCCACCCTTGCTGTAAGTGGTGGTGCTCAGCTGCTTTTTTGAGCTGTCTCTGTTACTGAGGGGCTTTTGTCCTACATCAGCCAATTTCCTGATTCTAGTGGAGCGTAGGAGGTCACTGGGCTGGTGATACTGAAATAATGCTAATACTCCAGAGACCAGAAATGGAGGTCCTTGGAAGATTTTCAGATCCAACAGGAAGACTCCTGATGAGGCTGGGTGCCCACTGTTTCTTCCTCTTTGGAATGAAACTACTCATATATCAAGATGTAAACTATCTGATCCCATAGTCATTAACATTTTACATGCAGAAACACCATTTCGTATTCATCAAGTCTGCCTATAAATAGGGGAAAATCTTTGGTAAAGCTACATGACAGAAGTTGTGATATGCACGGAGAAGTCTAAAATAAATATGATTATTTAGGACTGTACAAATACTGTATTATTTGCAAAGATTTTATATGGTTTTAATTCTCTCTATTAACTGTATTGAAAGTTACATTGTATAAATCTTATTTACGTATTTTATTGTTGCAAGTAGTTTAAAATTTATCTATCTTCAGACCATTTTAAGAATTTACAGCTGTACATTTACATTACTTCTATATTGTATTTGTCCTAGCAATGGTGCAATGGTAATAACATAGCTATATTTCAATTGTCTTATAATTCTTATAATTCTTAACATGTGTTCTCTTATCTTGATGTCCAACATCGAAGTGGCCATATTAAAAAAGAAAACACTCTTGCTATTTTTGGTTATATTTTAACTGTTACATTACAGTGTTTTTCTTCTTTTGTTTTGTTTTGTTTTGTTTTGTTTTTTGCAGGGCCTGAAGGAGCACTCTTTGAACATTCTGTAGAAACACCACTTGTGAAAGCAGAAGCTTTTAAACAGCTTAGGTAAGAATTTATACATAAATCTAATAAGTAAATGTTATTTTCTAAAATATTCACTTTTTTTTTGAACACATGATTTCCAACCCAGAATTGCTAATAACTTTTTTCTGGTTTATGTGACAAGTTATTATATCAAGGGAAATCATATATATTGTTCTGCAATTTTAAAATATACTATGAATTCCTTGTGGCTGATGGTGAATATATTTAAAACCTCTGTGGAAAAATTTTCTGTAAACTTTTATTTTGCATTTTTGAAAGACTTTGAAATATGACTTTTTCTACTTTGTTACAATATAAATTGCTCGTCTGAAGTAGGCCATCAACCTGTAATTAGTCAAGGTTCTTTGAAAACTAGTATCTGAGGAAGCAGACATAGAAGAAAAGTTTGGAAATGTATGAAGCTCTAATGTATGAAGATAATTAAAAAATGGTTTGGGCTACCTCAGAGAAGATGGTAAAAAGAAAAGAAGTGAAATCAAGAAAAAAACCATTAAAAATTACTAAAAAGCAGTTTGGGCTGAGAAAATCACTATTAAGTACTTTGTATGTTTCAGAGCTCCTTAATTCAGAGATGGCATTTCTTTGTGCATTATTCTATTTAATTCTGAATATCCCAAATTAGTTTATAATATGCTGGTTATGATGAGGTAATAAACTCAAATTATATTCTCTTCATGAACATGTTATCTTTCATTTTGTATGCCAGTTCAAAGAAAGATTTGAAATGAAAGAGGATCACTTTAATGATTGTATTTTCTGTCCTTTCATACCTTGGCAGTTTGCTACTTTTTTGTCATAATTTCTCTTTTTAATTTTCCTCTCCAATAGGGATAACTACTAAAGAGTAGTCGAGGCTGATGAAAGCTTTTAAAAATACTGTCTGTATCTTGCTCATTGAATTTTTAAATTGAGAATGACAAATGAGAGAGAGACTGTTAAGATAATTATTTTGATTTTCTCATTTATATTTAAGATTAACTTTACATTATGCTTGCATGTGAAGACAGTATGAGCTCAAGGCATTATTTTTAACATATTGATGTTCACTTTCAAAAATGTGTTTCTTCTGTTATGGTAGATTGTGAATGACTTTGACCAATATTCTGCATTAAAAGTGTACATTGGTTTTTAGGGAGTGGGTTCATTATGTTGTAAATTTGACATTTTCTGTGTTTATCTTGACTTCGGTGAAGTAGGAAAACATTTCTTAATTGCAAAATCAAGAAGCTCTGCAAATTTTGATTTGATATGTATCTGTTATTTTCTGTGGTTGTTACATTGCTTCAAATGCATAATCAATTAATATTTTATCAGGGTTAATATAGTTTTATTCTACATCTGTTATGCAGTGTCACATTTCAAATTCTTATGTGCACTTTTGTTTAACAACAGTTACAATGTTCCTGACTATATACAACTATTGTTAGTATAATTTTTCTGCCTCTTTTTCAAATAGGATAACAGTAGGAAGGAAAACACAGCTTAATTCAAAGTGTTCCTAAAGTTCTCCTCCATGACTGAGTTTACATCACAGCTTACCTTTAGTGGTTTTTACCGTGTCAACTATAAACATGCGTTTTGATCTAGAATGTTGCTATTTGTTAGCAGAGTTCAAATGTAATGCATAAAACCCCACTCAGTTCTGTCTTCAATTAACTGAAAATAGTGGGAAGTACAGACTTCTGCAGAATTAACAGAAGTTTGGTAGTAACCATTGTGATGTCAGGGAACTAGCAACATGGACACTGACACACTTGTGGCTGTATTTGACATGAATCCAGAGCTGCTAAACACCTGTGCTAGAAACTGAGTTAGCTTAACTCTAAGAAAACTGATTCTCTGGGCATGAGGCTGTGCAATGTATGCACCACTCACTTGTGTCAGCATAGAATAGCTTGGGCTGAAGGGATCTTAAAGATCATCAAGGTCCAACCCTTCCTGCCATGGGCACCTCCCACCAGAGCAGGTTGCTCAGAGTCCATCCAGCCTGGCCTTGGACACTTCCACTATCCACAGCTTCTCTTGGCATCCTGTTCCAGTGCCCTACTATCCTCACAGCAAAGAATTTTTTCCCAGTGTCTAATCTGAATCTTTCCTCCTTGCTCTGTCACTATATGTCCTTGTAAACATCCCTCTTTTCTCTCTAAAGGTAGGTCTTTACCCAGAGCAGTTCAGGATGTCTCAGTCAGTTTCTTTTTCTGTCATAATCGGTGTCAATGAAAGCAGAGATGGCAATTATTTCATTTTTTCATGAAGGGCTTCCGTGAAGGTTTAAGAAGGAAATGCACTGGTCTGCAGTGCAGATGGTAAATGAAGATGTAGGCAGAGAAGACCCTTTTGTTGAGCTGGAAAAAGGTTGCTTTCAAGGGTAATCTTAAATGTCAGCATAAGCAAAATTCATGCATTCTGTTGTGAAGGAGTTCAGACAAATTTACCAAAAAATTTATATTTTGTAATGCTTCATAAATATTCTGTTTCATTCCACACAGTTAAATGCAGGAACCTACCCACTGAAAAGCACTTCAGTATGAAAATTTAAAATGCAATTTTCAGTATGGGTTTCCTATTTTAGATTTGAAAATGCTTCCTTTCCAGATTAGGTTAGTGAGCACAGAGTTACAGTTAATATAACATATTTTCTTGCCTTGAGCCTTATCTCCGCACTTTCACTATCTATTAATCTTCTGATATTTTTCCTTTATTTTTCCTTCAGTGGTTGTGCTGTGCCATGTGGATGTGATATGCTGGATGAATGTGTTATAAAATGCCATGGTCTGCAGCATTAAATGTGGAGAATAGTGTTTTGAGAAACTCCATCCACTACAAATGGAGTTGCAGGTATCAAGGAGCTGATTGGAAAGCTGTTAATGCTCGTAATTTTTCAGCTCATGTCATATGAACGAGGGCCACATTCTTTCTTTGTCATTCAGATTTAGAGCAGGATTTCAAACAAAGCTGACACAAATGGCCTCTGAATTATACATTCTGCTGGCTTTCTTGTCCAAATGCCAAATTTTAAGATAGACTGCTTTTTTGGAAACAAAGAGATATGTGTGTTAGAATGTGTCTTTTTATAGCTAACTTATTGAGACAGCAATGCAATTATACTGCGGTCAATAATTGTCTTTTCATTTGTAATTTGAAGGAAAATTATAGAGTCCTTTTCAGTCTAAAAGATCAAATTTTGACTCACTCATCAAAAAAAGGAAACGTGCTCGCACTTGCTTCCAACTGGTAGGAAGAATTAAAACAACATCTACATTTCAAGATTGTAGCTTTCCTAAATTTAAAATAACATTGCCTACTTTTTAATTCCTTTAGTGGACTTCTCATATCTAAGCAAGATATATCATTTTCATTTACAAAATATGTTAAAACTTAAGGACCAGGTAAACACCTAAAAATGGGGCCATACATGTAAGAAGTATCCAACTGACATCTCAAAGACAGGTTGAAAGTCACCAGGGAGGTCTGGAAATATGCAGGAAATATCCTTCCCACACAAATACCATTGAGGAGACACCTGGTTGAAAACAGCTGATTGTCATAGTGAGAACAGAAATATGTCAGTGATTGCCAAGATCCAGCTCTTTATTCCTGCCAAGCTATTTTGTAGCCTTTTCTGTGGCTCTTCATGAGGCCTTGGACTTTTTGTATTTTGGCACCTTGAGAACATGCCTCAGTCAGGTCTCCTGGGGCTTCCCAAGAATTTATTTAGCTGATTCCTATAACTGGATCACAGCAAAGATTTAATGGAAAACAGGTGTCTTGCTTCCCAGAAAAACCTGAATTTAAACAGAATTAGGAAAGCTCATGTTCAGACACATACTTTGTGACTCAAAATATAGGTTAAAAATCAACTACTGGAACTAGATGATGTAGACAGAGACATTTATAACAGTTCCCTAAAAGCCATCTTTTCCCCAAGTTCCATGTTAAGCACTAGAAGTAGCCTCTTCTGGTGTTATCCAGAGTTTCATGCCAGCACACATACCTTTTTATATCCCCTGTTATCAAATAACATCCTCTATGAAAACTGGTGTCTGAGTTTAGATATTTTTCCAGTCTGATGCTAACATATTTTTCTGATAACTTATGACAGCTTAGAATATTATTTAGCCTATTCCTGTATTCCTCCTAAATTTTGTATCCTTGAATAACATGGAGTTCATACATAGTTTTGTTATTTTGATACTGTTCGCTTCTTGTGGTCTAAATGGCTTGTGGTTTTCTAAGGGAAAACAGTGGATCAGCGAAATTCTTTAAATCTCAAAACAATGTTTCTGAGCTGAGCATTTGCATTTCCCAAACTTAGAAAATGCTTACAAATGTGGCACTTTTCCATTTATCAACTAACTCTATACTAAGAATAATGAATATAACGCTTATGAATTATCTTTGTTCTCATATTTGCCATGTATGTATGGCTATCTGACTGCCAACAACTGTGTCTTCTGAGCAAAAATCCTGTGGGAAATCACTTTTAGTACACTCATCTTGTGGTATTCAGACTGTCTTTTAACTGAGGGTTTACATCCAAGTTCAGAATGATTCACATAGCTCCACTATTCTTGACTTTGGAAAGCTCTATAGCAGGAATGATATCACTGTTCCAGAGAGTCAACTTTTTTCAAGTATGATTATAAATTTATAGAGAGATATATGTTACCAGAATATGAGTATATTTAATGGTTTATGGGTATATACTGAAAAGATTTCAGTACTCCCCAGGGAAACAGATGTATTCTAAACAAATGTTTGTATTAAATAAAACTTTAAATGTGTAATTTAAGAAGCAATATTTTATATTTAAGTGAAACATCTGTCCAACACTTAAAAGCATAAAAATATGTATTTACTGATATGTGACTGACATGTTACAGAATATTGATAATTTGAAGGCCAATTGTGTGGTTTCTAGGTGTCTATATATTCATAATTGACATATATCCTTTAATTCTGTGGCATCCAGTTACTCTACTGATGGAGTTACAGCTTCT